ATTTTCTATTTTATTTCACACGCATTTTTTTGACAAAAAAAAAATCGCGATCACATGTGAATTTTCAATATGAATTTAGTTAAACAATAAAATTTCTCATTTCTTTTCTCTTAATTCTCAAAAAAATCCATATATAAAAAACTAATAACAAAGACCGATCCATGGGAAAATATTTTCTCTTATAATATAATTAATATCACGCGGCCTCAGATGACACTTTCGATATAAAGATAATGTTTAAAAAATCTATTTACCTTAAGGTGTGAAGCTGCTTCTCATTAAGCACAGTTCGAACGCGTGTTGGTTTACCATCCGATGGTCCTGATTGCCGTTTGTCGCGGATGCTTTTATGTGAACCAGACTCGCTACCTGAATCTATTTAAATATTTACTCTATTAATTACATTTGAAGTATACGAAATTACTCCAGATTTTAAGACTATTTTATCCAAAATATTTACAAAGTATTATCATTAAATGGTGCATAATTTTACTTTGGCGCCATCACTTGTCCCGCGTGTCACCATGAACCAAGTATCATAGATTAAGAAATATATCTCAATTGATGTTATTGTTACGGAAAAGAAATGGAAAAATTCCACTGTTAGTGACCACTGAACACACATATTTGAACCGTTGAGAAGCAAAGATACCTTCAGAAAAGTTGAGAAAAAATCTTCAACTTAAACTGGAATCTAAATCAAATGTCAACATTTAAGAGTTGAGAATTAGAGAACAACAATAAAATATTGAGAAACAAATTGCAACTTAATTGTTATGAAATGTTTCACTGTTGTTCACTAATTTCGAACATCTATTGGTTGCCCGAAATGCCAATTTTATCACTATTCGATAGGTGTCACAATGCAAGTTTAAATGAAACTCTCGGAGACTCGGTATAGAGCTACCAAACAGTGAAAAAAGTTCAGATCGTGATTTGGATGATAAGGAATGCGATTTTTTTCATTCTGATTTAACCAGATGATACAGAAAATTGAGTAGTATTTGTAAATCGAAGAAAAAAAATTTAATTATTTTTTTCATTTTTCGCGACTTTTTCACCATTTACATGGGCGGCTTGTTTGAAAAACACGGAAGACCGCTGAAATGCCACTGCCGTAGGTCCGTATATATTTGGCGTTTGCCATTTCAGCGGTCTTCCGTGGTTTTCATACCGCTCGTGTAAATGGTGAAAAAGTCGCGAAAAATGAAAAAAAATATTAATTTTTTTTCTTCAATTCTCAAATTCTACTCAACTTTCTGTATCGCCTGGTGAAATCAGAATGAAAAAAATCGCATTCCTTATTATCCAAATCACGATCTGGACTTTTTTCACTGTTTGATTGCTCTATACCGAGTCTCCGAGAGTTTCATATAAACTTGCCTTGTGACACCTATCGAATAGTGATAAAATTGGCATTTCGGGCAACCAATAGATGTTCGAAATTAGTGAACAACAGTGAAACATTTCATAACAATTAAGTTGCAATTTGTTTCTCATTATTTTATTGTTGTTCTCTAATTCTCAACTCTTAAATGTTGACATTTGATTTAGATTCCAGTTTAAGTTGAAGATTTTTTCTCAACTTTTCTGAAGGTATCTTTGCTTCTCAACGGTTCATTTGATCATCCAATTTGTTTGTTTATATAAAATGATGAAGACTCTTTGGTTCATAGTTTATTATGTCAATTTAGTATACGGGAACAGTATTTTCTCATTGGAGCTAACGTTATTGATTATTTCAATTAGCATAAATGAATCTCTTATTTGTAAACTGAATCAATGTGGCGGCCTTATATTTTAACGAAACAAAATGAATAAAATTGATGCCTACCTGACATTGAACCTATTTCACTGGAATGATTGTTGTTGTTCAAGTGTGTATTGTTGTTGCTCTCAATTAATGGTGCCACACGACTTTGTGCAGATTTTTCTAAATTGTCATGATCATTTTTGCAGTATAAAGAACCGCCTTCCCGTAACGCAAATTCATCACCTGGAAGCCAAGCATTTTTTTTTGTTAATTCAACTTAAATATTCAACGAAATATATATTAGGCAGTAAAATACGTTTATTTCTATGTATACCTGGAACTAACTGTCTTGTGCAGGCCGAGCAACGGAAACAGTCGATATGATAGATTTTCGTTTTGGCTCGCATCACGAAATCACTTTTACTAAACGAATTTCCACATTTATCACATTTAGTGCCGAACAATCTGAAAATTAAAATAATTTACATTAATTCGATGAATTAATAAACAAAATTAACATAGAAAACGTAACGCACCTAACATAGTCTCTTTTGCAATATGTTTTTCCATCTCTAACGAAGCACGTACATCGTTCATCAAGAAATTGCCGACATTCTTGACATTTCAAACAGGCTGCATGCCATTCTAAATCTGGTGCTACACGTAATATATATTGGTCGTGGATTTGACCGCCGCAACCAACACAATTGGAGAGTTCTTGTTTTTCTATTTTAGACAGGAAAAATTTAATAATTAATTGACATGATTTCTTAGTTTACAAAATCAAATTAGAGAAAAAAAGAAATAATTTCGCATTGAGAAAATTGTAACGCCTTTAGTATATTTTAACGTTGACAAATATAACGTTTTGACCCGCTTTTTTATTTTTGAACGAACCCGATTTCCGCACCATGATAAAACAGTAAGAATTTCGAATGGACAACCAAGACCGTTGTAGGGAATGGCTTTAACTATTTTCGCAAAGCCTAGATCACAAACATCAAGAACCTCAATATCCAAGCCGAACCACCGAATGTATGCTTATGTGTCTTTGGTCTTCATTATGACGGCAAAGATGTGCGAAATGCCACTGTGTATGCCATGAAGAAAGATGATTTAACGGGAAACAATCAGAATCGGAAAGAAACATCAAACGATGCAAATTTTGGTAAATGAAGCAAAGCAAAGCGGTTGGAACGAAGATGAAAGTGAAAAAAATCTTGAAACACAAAAAAAAAACGTAAAATCAATAGTTTCGCATTGACTTCGTTATGTCAAATCACGTTGAAAAATGTTCCTTGAGTTCGCATAGAGAGAATTGATTAATTTCACTTCAACTATTCATTTAGTTCTATTTTTACATTATTTCGATTGCTAAAATTAAGAGATGTATACTTATTATTATATTTATACAAGTAAAAGGACTGCCTAAAGCATTTTTTTGAGAAATGATTTTCATAAAAACAAAAGTTAAAACATTGTAAGTGAAGATGAAGTAACACAGTAAATCATATTTGTTTTCTCGTAAATGAACGGTGCGTATTATCGCAATCTTTGTAGCTGCAATACAGAGACATTTTCACAAAGGTTTTGAATCAAAATACGAAACGGATTTGGAAATTACTGTGATTTTGTTCTGATTAAAGTGAGAATTTGTTATTTTATCTGTCAAATTTTGTTTATTTCTAGCAGTATGACAATAATATTATTACAATTGAAGTTTTAGCAATTGAGCGTGTGGTTCAATACATATGAACATTGATTTTCTCGGAACTTTATTTTAAATGAATGTAAAAAAGAAAGAAAAATCCATGTAAAATTGCACAAGAAACACTGTTTTAAAAATAAATTTCAAGAAATTCAGAGGAAAGAACAAAAAAGAAAATCTTGTCCTATATTCTGTGCATAATTTGGGAAAATATGAAGACTTTAAATGCCTGGTGGAGAATACAACGAGCTCAATGTTTGAAGCAAAATCGATCGCCATGAAAGCCAAATTACATTTTTTTTGCTTTTGTTGTTTTGAGCGTTTGAGTAAGCTACTACCTCATTTCCTATTGCTCTTTTCGATTGTATTTCCGTCGGTCTTCTATTATACCATCGTGCACATCATAAAAATCCATCTTTATATATTTCCAAGATAAATATTCTATGCGCTTATGAAACGAAGTGTTGAAAATATATAAGAACGTTATTTGCATTCTTTCTTTCTTTTTTTCTTTATAAAAAAACGAGTCATAGAAACGAGATATGAATAATTTATCAAGGCGTGTTTCATTGAAAGGTCCGCCTTTTGCGATAAATTTTGTTTCTCCAAAAGACAAAAGCTACATCCAAAACACGATAAGAAATGTAGGGAAAAAAGAAGAGCACAAAATACGTAAATATCAAATCGTTTCGTTTTACAGCATAATGAAGGGCAAAAACGGGCTGAAAATGTACTGCAAATACCATCTTCTGTATCTTTGCCATTCAAATCAAGTCGAATACTCGATTCGTTGACTTTCGTCGTCCGTGAATCAAGAGAGAAGAAGAAATGAAAGAAAATTTACTCGGTTAAACATTTAGATTCATTTTTGATTATTCGCAATTGCAAGCAAGCTTAAGCAAGCATTTCGCCCAAAAGCGTTTGAAGATGTTAATTGAATCAAATTAAAAACAGGTGAAGAACGAGTGATGAAACCAAATTAGCGACGAAAATAACATATTTCAAGAAAGTCTTTGGAATAAATTAAGACGTCCGCCATTTGAACAACAAACACACAATATTAATATCGTTTTTATTGGTGTAAACCTTTATTCATAGGCTATCGAATAGCACATTCACCTTACACTGAACGGGCCATTGTCTTCGATTTTTCTCAGTATGCGTCGAACCTTCAAAATCATGTTCTGGCGGACCGATTTGTCGATTTCTTTCAACTTTCTCTCGAACCTTCCCGCTAATTGTTGCTTGTTTCAAGTATTTTGGACCTTCGCCTATAACATACATCCAAAAACAGACGAGAAATAATTAATTTGGTGTCTTTTTGTGAAGTTAAACAGATGGTCCTTTTTTCACGGAAATGTCATATTTTAAGAAGTGAGCCATTATTGTGGTTTTTTCTGCTTGCAAACCAAAATTTTGTCTTAAATCAGATAGTTCTCAATGAATTCTATCGATTTCAACAATAATTGGTTGATAATGGAGCATGTAAAACACCTTCCAAAGAATATCCTACCATACAAACACGCCTTTATCAAAGTTCGGGTTGTCGACGTCTCTAGACTTATATAGTAGTGCTCCAACATAATCAATGAAAAAGAAACCACTTGCACTTGATTAATCGTTCGATTTGGCGTTGAATGTTTCACTGTCCAAGATGTTGAATTTTTCAATGCAATATGCTATAAGGCGAAGTGAACAGCCAATTTTTGCCACTATTTGAAATTTTTTTGTTACATATTTTGCTGATTCCTAACGATCGTGTCTAAATCTATTGTTTTAATTCAAATTTGGATGTGCTGTAGCCATAAGAATCACCAAAAATGAATTTTTGCTTGACCAACCCGGTGTTCGGTACTTGATGACAATTTTGAAGGGTTTGAGCATTTTAGTTGGGAATAAGACCGTAGTTTTTGCATTCTCTAGAATCTTTATATTCATATTAAGTCCATGAAACACGATACATGGTTCGAAGACAGATTAGTTCATCTTTAGACACATGCAGAATTTGTTTTGAACTTAGCTCGCCAAAACCATTTGAGACACCTTTTCGTAAATCTAATTTGTATGCCATCGCGAATGAATATAATTGCATGGTTTGTTTTTGACAGTAAAGCAGAGGTACCGTTTTATGTGCTGGGTGCAAGATTGACATATTTGCATTTGTTTGTGCGACGAAATAAACGCCTGAATTTATTCCAAAGACTTTCTTGACATATGTTAGTTGGTAGATAATTTTTTGGTGTACTGTGAACAAATGCTTAATATACATTTTTACCCGATTTTTGGTTCAAAAACGAAAATTTTGTATGTAAGATATCCCTGATTTTCGTCAAAAAAAATTTGAAAATTTTAGAATGTAATTTTTTGGTGAAAAAAATATGCTGTGAAAAGTAAAAAAATTAATAATTTTCTATTCTTGGTTTAACCATAGATAAATTAACTTCTAAATCAATTAAATTTGTATCACTGTTTAGTATCCTTTTAGTATAATAATCATTGAATGTGGTGAGCATATAATTAATAGGTTCAAATTTAGTATAATCTGTTCTTCTTATTGGTATATCAAAAAGTGGTGTTGTACGTGTATTATGAGCTGAATCATAATAGCTCAAATTGTTTGATATATGAGTTGACTTCGTATCTCCGCGAATAATTTTAAAGATGAAAGACACTTGTGCCATCTTGCGTCTCTCCCCAAGCGTAATCATTTGAAGAAACAGCAGTATTTTTTCATATTTCGGTAGTTTGAAACTGTTCCAGTTCATTCTCATTAGCGCAAAAAGTAAAAATTGTTTTTGTATGATTCTTTTGCACATATTATCATAGTTTGGATTCTCGATAATATGAAATGATTTTTGTTTTGTTAATATATTTATTGGCTAAAAAACCTTATTGCTGTCAGCATTTAGAATTTGGTAGTTTTTCAATGTTCAATATCTTTCGGGAAATAAATATTCGTTCGATAAAGAAAGAAAATTGTAAACAGTGTGGAAAAGTAAGACTTACGGATGTTAGTTCCTTTTTTAATTTTTTATTCTTTAACACTATGCGTTAGTCAGCAAAGACACTAATAAACTACTCATAACTCACGCATAGGACGTCGAGCATCAAAGCTGACTAGACAAAGACCCAAATATCAAGATGTATTTCGTCGCGCCAAGATAAAACCTTGCGTTAATGGCGCCACTAACAATAATCTTATTTTACTTTTTACCATCGGATTCATGGGAGTGTTTATCTTTTATTTTTACTGTTTGATATCCTTAGGTCAGTGCTTTTTTTTTCAATAATTATGGTTGCATAGGACATTCTCACGTACTATTAATGAGATAATGTTTTGATATGATTTGCGTTTTTGTGTTATCATTTAAACGCTGACTCATGAAATACATTGACTCATTCAACGGTAGTGACGGGTAGTTACGAAATTGCACATGGCTTAGATAAAATAATTATATTTAGCCTTTTGTAAATCGATAGAATACCATTACATAGAATATAAATTCGATGATCGACAGCAAATTGCTGAAATGTTTGCCACTCATTTTTCAACTGCTTATAGTCAACACAGTGAAGGAGTTAAATACAATATAAATAACGCAATGAGTCTACAAAACATTTGTGCAGCGATTTCAGAAATTATTGTCACAGATGATTTAGTAAGCGAATTTCTGAATTGCCATTGGATCCAGTCTCTGGTGTAGATGGAATACCAAATATATTCATTAGGAATTGTTTACCATCCTTATTGTATCCAATAACTGAGAGAGTATTGCTGAGAGAGTCAATTCAATCAAATTGTATACCACAGATATGGAAAACATCATTCGTGCGACCAGTATATAAAAGTGGTAACAGAAACAAAGTCGAAAATTATCGTGGAGTTGCTTTGCAATGCATAATTTCAAAATTACTCGATTCAATTGTAACAAGTCACATGAATAACTATTTGAAGACAATCATCGACGACAGTCAACATGGATTCATCAACGGTTCAAAATTTGGCAGAATTCACATC